AATCACTGGTAATACCAAGAACCGGGAAAATCTCAACTTAAATGAGAAAAGACAATTGACAGACATCAACACTGAGATGATAGAGATGTTAGAATCATCTGACAAGAATTTTAAAACAGCCATCGTAAAAAGTGCTTTGGTGAGACATTATTACAACATGCTCGGAACAAAAGAACAGAAAGTCTCAGCAAAGAAATAAAAGGCACGAGGAAGAATTCTATTCTTCTCCGGCCTTAAAAGAATCACTCCCATTTCTGAAATGACCATCTCACTTTGCACCTGGGCCAAGGCTCCTCCCCCTCCCTGGAACAGCCATCTCTCTCCTCTTCTCCTTTTTAACTCCTGCTTATCTCGCAGGGTCAGCCCAGATGTCACCCCTTCTGGGGAGCCTTCCGTGGCCTCCCATGGCTTCCATGCCCCTTCCACTCAGAGCTTCCTACACCATTGCACTTGTGCTCAGTGCAAATTGTTCTGTCATCTGTCCCTCCTATACCCACCCAAGGTAGGGCCTGACAGAAGGGACTGTGTCTTATGCCAGGTGCCTGGCATAGTACCTGGCTTATAATAAGCACTGAAAAAATATGATATCTGTTGAATAAATCAATAAATTAATGGATAAACGGAAACTCTTCACTGGCTCCTCCTTTTCTATTGAACAAAGTTAAACTCTGTGGTCTAGCTTTAAATATTCTACAGTGACACGCTAATCTTTCTGGGACTCAGCTTCCTTTAACACATCTTACTCCTCTGCCATACTGGAAAACACATTGTGCTTTGAAAGTACCTTACACTTCCCCATCTCTACATGTTGTATGTGCTCTTCTCTCAGCCTCGAATGTCCTAATCCATGATTGCCATGAAAATCTTATTCATTTTTACAGCCCCAGTCAGACCCCATCCTCCATGCCTCGGTCTCAGAGCTCCCGAGCTGGAAGGAGTCCTGCCCATCTCTGCATCCACAGCCTTCGTTTAGCCTTTTCTTGTGTTATTTCTCGCTTTCTGTCTTGCATTTGTTTTTTTTTGTTTTGTTTTTTTTTTTGCTTATTTGTTTGTTTGAATGTACTGTAGTATTCTCCCCAAGATTTTAAAATCTTCGGATTCAGATAAACCCACATCTTACTCATCCTTGCCTCTGCCACTGAGCACCTAGCATAGTTCCTTGTTGCTCTCTGAGTTTCAGTTTCTTTTACGGAGATAATAGTACCCACTTCATAGGATTTCTGTGAATGTTAAGTAAAATCCACTACTTATGTAGTGGTACAGTGTCACAATGTTCATACAGTAAGTGCTCAATAAGTTCTGGCTGCTATCATAGTCATTGTGATTATTATTTGAAGGAATAAATGCCACGCAAGTCCTGTTAGCTCTGCCTTCAAAACATTTTTTGAATTCTGCTTCATCTCACCACTACCAATATTATCCCCTACTCCCAGCCAAGATTGTTTCTCTTGATACTGTCACTACAGTCCCCCTGATGTCCTTCCTTCTACTCTCTTGTCCCTCTACCTCTATTCTCTACTCAGCAGCCTGTGTGATCCTTTTAAAACATAAAACAGATGATGTGACTTCTCTGCTCAAAACTCTCCAGCGGCTTCCCAATCTACTCCTAAAAGGCCTCATGTGGTCTGGCCTCCTGTCCCTCCCCCGTCACTCACCGACGCAGCCTCATGGCTGTCTTACCCTCCCTCATGCAGCGCTTCACACTTGCTGTTTCCTCTGCACTGCGTGGGATGATCTCTCCCAGCCTGGCGTACAACCTGCTTCTTCATTTCATTCCAGGGAACCTACACTCTCCACTGTTACCTTTTTAAGAGTAACCGCCATATGTAAAATACCAACCATTATTCTCATGATATTTTATATTTTTTATGGCTTTTAATATGACCTGAAAATATATGCATATATTTATAGAAATAAAATTATCATCTTTCTCCTCTGCTAGAATTATAAGATCCATGAGTATTTCCTCTATACCCAGTCTCTAGAACAGTGTGTGGCACGTAATAGATGTTCAATAAGACTTGTTGAATGATTTTTTTTTTTTTTTT